TGCGTCCGTCCGGAGTCATATCTCAGAATCCCTTGGACCAATTCATTCTTTGCATGTGCCTAGTACTTTATGTGGGACATATGCACATGCAGTGGTTTAGCGATTCAATTCAAAATGGCCGACTGGCAGCCACCTTGTTTTTTGAAAATGTTGTATTTTGGACATGCTTTGTCAGTTTTCATTCAAACTTGGTACATAGATTATACATGTTAGGATACATGTCCCCGACCATCTGTAAGTTCCTGAGTCCGTCCGTGTGTCCGTGCGTTACTCTGTCCAAAGTCATATTTCAGAATCCTGTGGACCGATTCCGTTCATTCTTTGCATGTGCCTAGTACCTTATGTGGGACATATGCACATGCAGTGGTTTAGGTGATTTGATTCAAAATGGCCGACTGGCAGCCATCTTGTTTTTTGGAAATGTTGTATTTTGGACATGCTTTGTCAGTTGTCATTCAAACTTGGTACATAGATTATACATGTTAGGATACATGTCCATGACGATTTATTTCGCAATTGGATCAAAGATGGCCGACTGGCAGCCATCTTGTTTTTTGAAAATGTTGTATTTTGGACATGCTTTGTCAGTTTTCATTCAAATTTAGTACATAGATCATACATGTTAGAATACTTGTCCCCGACCATCCGTAAGTTTCTGAGTTTGTCCGTGTGTTCGTCCGTCAATCCGTCACTCTGTCCAGAGTCATATTTCAGAATCCTGTGGACCGATTCCGTTCATTCTTTGCATGTGCCTAGTACCTTATGTGGGACATATGCACATGCAGTGGTTTAGGTGATTTGATTCAAAATGGCCGACTGGCAGCCATCTTGTTTTTTAGAAATGTTGTATTTTGGACATGCTTGTCAGTTGTCATTCAAACTGGTACATAGATTATACATGTAGGATACATGTTCATGACGATTTATTTCGCAATGGATCAAAGATGTCGACTGGCAGGCATCTTGTTTTTTTGTTTCATATGCAGTATCATTGGACGTGATCTGTCAGTTTTCATTCAAATTTGGCACATAGATGTACTTTATACATGTTAGGATGCATGTGCATGACAATTTGTTTCAAAATCTGGTCAAGGATGGCCGATTGACAGCCATCTGACTTTTTGGCCTTACTGCTATATTTCCACAATTTATGTACCATTTTCATTCATATTTGGCACATACATCATACATATCAGTGTGTTTCATAATCAGATCAAAGATGGCCTAATAACCGCTGTTTTTATTTTTGGCCATATTACTACTACAAGGAACACATGTTTTGATGTAAATAAACAATCTGTTGTATACGCCACTTGGAACTCAAGTTTCAAGGACACGCTTGCGACAACTTCTTTGCTTTAATATGACGAGCACAAAAAGAACTTTTAAAAATTTAACGGGGACTGTGTCATTTTCAATGACTTGTTTGATTGTGTGTTCATATTTAATGTAAAAACTCTAAGATAGGTAGATTTGCTTCTGTTACAAATTACTGCCGTTCAATATACATATTTCTGTCCAAAATTTTAGTAAATATTCAGTTTTTATTCAAAAAATTTGTTTGTTTTTTTAGTCCCAATCTTTTGAAGGAAATTGCAGACTATGAACGGGAGTATTTTGTGAATTTGTGATGAAAATAGGAGCTGGTGGTGAAAACGTTAATATTGCCATATTTACTCTTTAACAAGCACAAACAAACTATACAAACCTATAAATCAGAAAATGTAGTTTTATTTTTCTTTCCTGTTTTTCATGCCTACTTACTTGATTCAAAACAATTCTACCTGGTAGTATTTTTAACATGTTACTGTAACATTGCGATATTAAAGTTTGTATTACTATATCCTTCTCATTTCAGGTCCAGAAGTTGACACAATTCCATTTTCGTTGTTTCCAACAAAACCAAGCTATAAATTCTCGCTGGAAACGACACCATTCAATGTTGTTATAGAAAGAATCCAAATAGCTCCACACATTGATGGCAAAAACACAAAAGTACAGGTTAGTAATATTTCTATTTATTCAAGGTACTCATGGGCCATAATAATTACACTTAGAATAAAATACATTTTGTGGACGATACTGGCTGAACAATACAATAATAAAACTAATTTGTAATATAGGATAATATAATTTCCCAAATTCTTCAAAATTACTGTAGTAATAAAGCAGTAAAACGTTACACATGAAAACATAAGATAAATGTTTTTTATGATGTATATTGGCAAGTAAGTAATGCTGATATAACAGTTAAATTTCCACCTCTAAAAAATTCATTGCGACTTTCTTTCTTGTCTTAATTAACACTTCCTGTCCTGACGCTGTCATACTTGTATACCATTCATATCTGCTATCTGCAGAGGCTTTCCGAAAAGATGTTAAAAACCACTGGTACATCAGTTTATAATCATTGTTTAGAAAATAAGTGTTTCTATGTGAATGTCAAATGTAGTAATTTAACAATATAGTTAAGTTTGTGTAGAATGTGATGTTGCGTAACAAAAATTGCATAATTATAAAAGCCAATTGGTGATTCTGAGCCAACACTGTCATGTGGTGATCAAAGCGGCCAGAGTGGGAGAAAATTTAAACTGCATTGGTTAGAAGTTTCCATGGGTAAAATACAACAAGGATGTAAATTGTTTGTTTTGTAATGTGTACTGCAGTATACATCCGAATAAAATGAGAGTGTGTAATTGATTTGTCAGGATGTCGCTGAAAACTGTCTGTGCTCCCATTATACCATGTATGTCTAAATTACGGTAATGTCTGAAAAAACACAAATATTTGTTTCTGTGTAGTTTATTAATATGTATTTGTGAAACAATATATTCCAGTGACCAAGAATTTTGTGCTCAGCCACTAAATTTTTCAGTTGTTGCTATAGACAAAAAAAAAAAATAAAAAACATTTTTAACCTTGAGGGCTGATTATTGACCTCTTTAATCCTAATTTCCTCCCACTCGTGTTTTTAGCTCAAAGTTGATAAATTTTCGTTAGTGTATAGGAATAATATGGACAATCACTTTTGGTTCCTCAGTGAAATTCAAGCCAGGTCTTTATTGTAATGGTACACGCGTACTATAAAAATATCAAACATTCTTTCTGTCTCTCAGATACAACATGAGAATAGTTTACAAGTGCAATTAGAACATAGTATGTGTTCCATACTGGATGGATGTCCGGTCTTTGTACCGGAACCTGGTGTCAAGGCACTGCATGAATACTGTAGAGTTGCTGACGATGACATACAAGATGACAGCAATGGAGACGATAGTGAGACTCTGCAACACACCAGCTTGGTGTTCAGTCTTTGTAAAGCATTGTGGGGAAGGCTGCCAGAAGATGTAATGGCTGGTAAGAGACAATTTACGCTTTATTCATGTATATTTCAAAAGATCACTCATAATATGGATTTACCGTATTTGCTATTAGATGTACATAGATGACAGATGTACTTTTATTTATATTTTAATGATTTAGAAATAAATGCAATTTCTTGGCCTTTGTGTGCTTCTGTTAGATCTAATACAATTCCCCATTTTCTAAAAGTTTTAATGTTAGACAAACTGACCAAATTCATGAGGTTATATGTATGGTTCACCAACCATGGTGCATACATTGTGAAATCAAAGCTTACTTATGATTTGCAACTAGCCAGGTTTTGCTACTATCGTAAAATTCTCAAATTTGTTAAAATTATAAAATTGCTGTTTAAAATTGCTGTCTACAGAGAAAGGGAAATACACATACCAAAAAGCAAGACGAGATGAATTCTCTAAATGGTTGTCAATGGCTGCAAGGGACAGGATACAGACAGAGATTCAAGATGCAAAAGCTAAGGTACATGTATGGTTAGTTGACTGTAACTTGAAGGGAGTATCAGTGGGAGTGTTTAATCTGTGACAAGATGGACTACCTGAAGGAGCAACCATACTAGTCTTCCGAAGTACTGTCAAACCTGTGTATAGTGACCACCTAAGGGACCTCATCAAGAGATGTCTTTATAGACAGGTGGTCATTATATGAAGGTTGGAGTACTTTTGTTATGCATCATTAACTTTTATATTTGACATATATATTTTTCCTGAAAATAATGAGATGAGATTTGCTGTTACAACAAAAACACATGTACTTGTCTGATTTGATCTGAATCATATAAGTTTGAATTGTTCTATAAATGTAATGTCAATTATTATTTTGTTCTCTGAAAAAAGGCTAAACAGCAAAAATATTGCTTAAAGAGTTGTCACTTTAGCAGGTGGTCTTTTATACATAAAAGTGGTCACTATAAACATGTTGGACTTTGGAGAGTATTTAATTATAGTTCTATCCAGCATTTTTGCAAAGATGTTATATTATTTTGCAAAAAATGAAATTTAATTGCATTTTATTGTTTTGAGAAAACATTTTTCTGAACTTTGCAGTTGATACCTCTGGGCTATAATATCATTGTATGTACATTTATTAGGACCAACACATGGATTGTATATTCAGTCAACTGAGTGGGAATCAAATCAGCGAGGCTTGCGAAATAGCACAGAAATTTAAAGACCATCGACTATCGTTATTAATATCACAGTTGGAAGGATGTTTTGATTTGAAATATGACCTACAGAAGCAGCTGAGCGACTGGGAAGAGAACGGGGTAAGTGGATTTGACCGATCAAGCAAAAATATTGAGCACAGAACGTTTAATATCGAAAAGCATAAACCAAAGAGACAATTAAATTCATAACTGGTTCCTTTAGTACTATTAGAATATATATACCGGGGTAATATTCAATTGGTAATAAATTCAACAACTGTGCCCCATATATGATTTAACTTGTATATACTCGCTCGGATACATAATGGTTAGAAATCAAATTGTATTTCCCGTAATCTCTTCTTTTATACATTGTTCCAATCCATGATTTATATAATTTGTTGATACACCTGTGCAACAGCAACTTGAAGTATGTATACAGTGATGTACAGATGAATTGTGTCGCATTTACTGTATGTAATCTCTGATGGGAACAATGAATGTACATGTATCCCGCATCAACCACCCATGATTTATTACCGTAAAATCTGTATTAGAAGCTGCATCTCTAATAGAAGTCGTACCTATTCTTTTTGAACAATTGAGAAGCAAACATTCATCATTTCTCATATGTGTAGATGCTCTAATAGAAACCGTATCCCTTCTGTTGCATTGTACCATTTTAATAGAAGCCGCAGCTTTTAATACAGATTTTACAGTAACTTGTGCAAATTAACAAATAGTTATGTAAAAAATACAAGTTTCCTGTGCAAACACTATACCCAATGATTGTACCGATACGATTTGTTATGTTTATCTAAAGAATAGTAACATGTGACAAAAATGGGGAATTTCATGAATTTCTGTAAATAAGCCTTTTAATAGTGACTTTCAACATATGAAGAATAAAAAATATCCCATAGTAGCCGTATATACGGCCACCTGTGATAAACAGTGATGGATAATATGCCTTCTAAACAAAGTATACATATAGTAATGATTTATTTTTCTATTACAGGCAATTAATTTTATGGATGAATCCCGTATTCGTGTAAATACTTTATTGGCTGGCTGTCCAGTATGGATATCGTCGCGGGGAAATATCAATACTTGCGAAATGCTAGATTGGAAAAGAGCCCTCGCTGTCCATTTATGGCAAGTCTTTTTCTTATTCTGTTAATTATAATGAGAACTGGTATGTTGTAAATTTATTTGTTGAATAAAAAAAAATATATATATAATCGATCTCAGTTTGTCCATCCAAAGTCCAAATCTGTTCATTCTTTGCATTTGCCTAGTATTTTATCTTGGACATGTGCAAGTGACAGAGTTTGAAACAGGGACTTGTAATCGGTCTCGGTTTGTCCATTCAAAGTCCAAATCTTTGCATTCTTTGCATGTGCCTAGTATTTTGTCTTGGACATGTGCAAGTGGTTTACTGATTCAATCCAAGATGGCTGACTGGCAGCCATTTTGTTTTTTAAAAATAAGGCATCTTGTGCATGCTTTGTCAGTTTTTGTTGAAATTTGTTCTATACATTGTACAAATTACCTGTCCATGACAATTTGTTTAACAATTGGGTCAAATATGGCCGACTGGCAATCATCTTGCTTTTTGTGATAAACATGGAGTTTGTTTATTCAAGTCATTATTACAAGATTCTATATTCTGTTTTGTTCGCAGGTTCATCTGTAGTAAAACAGCATCTATATCTGATGCACTTAAAGAATATGAAAAAGCATTTAAGGTAAGGACACCTGTTTACACTGATATACATTAAATGCAAAATTTTGCCTTTAAAGCAAAAATTTTCATTTATTCTTTCCTGACATGTAATGCTAGCAGGGGATATAGTGGTTACCATTATCAATGCATAACTTAAACATAACTTAAAACTTGGTCGTACTGATTTGGTAACCGTAACTACTCCCCAATTGAGATATGCACTAATGCTACCTACCGGTATATCTAGTTACAGTTGGGTGTACACCACCATCCTCCAATCAAAAATATGACCTCTACCAGCCAGCGCTGGATTTACCTCTGTCACTATTTTGGGTCATTCTTAGTATGGGTCACTGTGACCTGGTGAAGTTGTCATTATTTATTTACAATAATGATTTTATTACTAAATAAATGAGGTTATTATGGAAAAAAAAAGGTATGAGAAGATGGTGATTATATCAACTGACATTGCAGTGGAGGTTCTTGCAATCCTGTACTGCCTGAGTGCATACTTTCTGGCATTCTCATCATGATAATTTTAATATTTATACATTTTTCTGCTTTTAGTCGTAATGTTGTGGGATATAACAGCCCAAAATGTCTGCAAAAATGTTTTTGTGCCTGTATAATCGTTCTCGTTCAGTGATGTGATTCTATTTCAATCACATGACAATTGTTTTACTTCTGTTATAAACAATGGAAAGTATTTGAATGTGACATAAATATGACGAATAGGGAAGGAAGGTTTCAGGATGGTGCATCAGGTTCTGGAAACTCATGATTGTTTATTTGATTGTTCTCCTTGTAGGGAAGAAGTAATTTTAACAAATATGCGGTATCTCCACTGCCACCATACCTTGAAAATAACCCTGATAATGATGAAGGAGAAGACGAACACCATGTCATCAGAGATACATGTTATCATTTATTGAAGCTATATAGTCAGCATGCGCACAGAATGGAAAGGATACTAGCACCTACCACGTCAACACCGTATCTCTTGGATTATAGACTAAGGTAGCATTTTTATAATATTTTCATTTGTCAACATTCATATTTGATGATGAACATTAATAAAAATTAATATAATACTCATTTTTGTATGTTTCAATGAATAAACCATTTTCCGTTCACTGCGAGAATCACGCGTTATGCGTGAAATCGAACGTAAAAACAGGACAAACAAAGGTCATAGCGTCGTAGTCGCGTCAAACATCGCGTGGGATTCGACAAACGCGAAAGTATTTCGGGGACATTTCCATGCTTAATATTGTGCTGTCCACATTTGATGATAGGCAATTTCGATTAAGTAAGGGTATTCGGAAGCAATATTCCTCTGTCGAAGATCGGCCGGTCAATGTAAGCTGCGAAATAAAGAAATTCTAGTTCAAAATCAAATCGTTCGATTTTTGCGGCAGACGTTCGACGCGCGTCTTTCATGCATCTCGCGAGATCTCGCAATTGTTTGGAAAATGGTCTATTGATATATTAGATATGCATCATTAATTTTTTTTCTCACTGCGCTGGACTCATCATAACTTGCTAAATAAATACTATCAAAATTTAGAGCTGTTAAATTAGAAGTACTGGACTTAAATTTCACTCGCTGTTTCCTGCACTCAGTTGAAGCTCAGACTATTGAAACCCCCCTTCTACCCCTCCTACTCCTACAACACTGGACAATAGTGGCTAACTGATGGTGTGCCTTTAATGATTAAATTGAAAATATTATTTTTTTTCTTTTTCAGTTGGCATTTATATCAAGTACTACAAGCAATAGATTATACTCATATATCAGAACAACAGTCAGCTATGTTACAGTGTAACTTTGCATCACATTTAGAATCCATAGGCATGTGGCATTGGGCAATATTTGTATTACTTCACATACAAGACAATACAAGGTAAATAATCCATTCATGTACGTTCATTATTGTGGAGAATAGAATGGTCAGCATCATGTAATGTGCCTGGGGAAAGGATAACACGTATGAAACTTGTCATGTCAGCATTAAACTAGAAGCCGTCCATGTTTGTGAGACGTTGCTAAATCAATATGACACAGCCAATGATCCCACAGAATTCTGGGCTTATTTATAAACATAGTTTAGCAAATTACCAAACCAATAGTTTGGGTACATAGAACAGCTTGATTCCATGTTACAATTTACCTTAATCCATATGAACACCTCCCATGAACATAAAGTTACCTTGCCATGAGTTTTTATGTTTTTAGTTCCACTGTCGACTTTGTCGAGCGGAGCTTATCATAATGTATGAGTGATTGTCCGTCGTCCGTGTCAATGTTTTACTCCTTTGACTTTTTCTTGAAAACTACAAGCCTGAATGCTTTGATACTTGGTGAATATGTACCTTGGGTAGACCTTGCTTAGATTTGTTCTTTTCATGATGATATCTTCAATTCTCTAATTTTGGTGAATATTTTTGTCATTTTTGGTAAAAAGTGATATTTTCGTCCAATTGCTTTGATATTACATATATAGGTACTACATGTGAACCTCTCTCAGGTTTGTTCATTTCATGATGATATCTTTAATTTTGATGAATATTTTTTTAATTTTTGGTAAAAAGTGATATGTTCGACTTCTTGATGATTGCTTTGATATTATACATATTGTTCATTTTTTAATGATATCTTCTTTTTCTATCTTTAATTGCAAAGTGCATTGCTAACAGCGGAGCTATCTCAGCTGACAGGCTGCTTGTTGTGACTTTGTTTGGAGTGGTTTTTGATGATATACACTTTACTCTGATGATTCTTCAGCATGGTGTTTATTTTATGCACATTTTGAAAAAAGCTGAACTGAATTAGTTTCATTGGTTATTTTACAATACTGACTTAGGTTTTTGATTTTTCTATTTCTAAATTAGAAATCTCGTCGAAAAAATCATGAATATTCTCTTATGCCGAATGATTCGGCTATTAAACAGGTTTCCAGTCTACCCGGGGGTTTCAGAGTTTTGTTTTAGACAGATATCCAGTCTAATTGGGGTTCAGTTTAGACATATTTCCCATCTTATAATGTTTTGGGTTGGATAGGTTTCCAGTCTAATTAGGGTTTCATTTAGACAAATTTCCAGTCTAAAAATAGTTTGGTTTAGATGAGTTTCCAGTCTAATAATAGTTTGGTTTAGACAAGTTTCCAGTCTAATCAGGGTTTCATTTAGACAAATTTCCAGTCTAATAATGAATAGGTTTAGACGAGTTTCCAGTCTAATCAGGGTTTCATTTAGACAAATTTCCAGTCTAATAATGAATTGGTTTAGATGAGTTTCCAGTCTAATTTCTGGTTTAGAATGATTTCCAGTTCAATCATCGTTCTGTTAGACAGGTTTCCAATCTCATCAAATTTTTGTTTAGACGGATAATACATCTGTATATATCCATTTCATAGGAGAGAACATTCAGTACGTAATTTATTATGCCAACACTGTACGCTATCAAATGATGAAGAAAATGAGAGAAAAGAAGATCTTCTGGTCAATAAATTTAGAATTCCAAGGGAATGGATACATGAGGCTAAGGTAAGTGCATAAAATGTTGTAAACTACTTGTCAATCAGATTTACAAAAAAAACATGTTTTGTATCCTGTAAATGCATTAATTATTCACTGGGTTTTAAGTGATAAGTAAAATCCACTAAATTAAATCTACGAGAACATGTGAAATAACAATAAAATTCTTCGTTTCCTTGACAAATCTGTGAAATTAAAACAGTGTATATGCTCAAACATCATTATAGTGAAATTAAATGTCGTTGAAAATTAATGTTTTTACAGTAATCATTGGTCACAGTGACTTTTGTGGGATTCAATTCTTACATGCATACACACATGTATTGCAAATTACTCAACTGCATCAATTTCTAACAGTGGCAAAAATCCAAAGTATTGTAAATGTTCACAGTATTGTTTTTCATCCATTTTAATTTGAGGACAAAACTATTTTTAGCTCCGCTGTCAACGAAGATGACCAAGCGTAGCTCATGGGTTAACTGGACCTGTCATCGTCCATGCGTTGTATGGTATCTGTCATCTGTCAAATTTTATTCAAGCGACATTTTTTTTCCCATACCATAAGCTAGAGCACCTTACAATTTACAACACGGCTATAAACAGCTCACATCCAAATCTCTATTTTTATTAGGGAATATTTTTGGTCGAAAACATTTTTTTAACAACTCCTTGTCAAATTGCATTGAAATTTGGCATGAATGTTCTTGACATGTACTAGACTCTGACTTACCGGATACTAATTTCATGAGATCATATGCAAGTGTCTATATTTTTAATACATAGTTTGGGGTCTTTTTGTGCTCATTTTTGCATAATTTTGGCTTCTTCTCCAAAACCGCCTGCCAGATTGCTTTGAGATGCATAATGTAGACACATGGACTTTCAAATTTGTACATTTGATGAAGATACATGTATCTCTGTTTTTGGGAAAGTTAGGAATTTTTTTATGAATTTTCTTTTCCCATTTTCTCTTATGCTATATATGGGCTATGTATAATACATGGACTGTAATAGATAAGTGTTTTGTTGGGTTCTGAACTACTAGGGCCAATGTTTTTCAAAATTGGTGAATTTCAGGTCAAGGGCATTTCAATTTTTATATGTTTTGCTGCTATTAGACAACTGTAACAGTTGGAAGGTAGTCTTTTTCAGTATACATTGTGTTGGGTTCTGAACTACCTGGGCCATTACTGATCACAGCCGATCAGATTATAGATTGATTACATCTGCAACATTGCGTAGCACTCTTTTAATCTCTATTCTTATTTTAGTTTTAAAAATCTTGTCCTGACTGGCCGTATCATACTCCACGATCTCCATTTCTTCAAACTGGTAATACATGTAATACAATGACTAGTTTCTTTTATGGTGCCAAACTTTATCAATATCACTCCATCCTACATTTCCAACTCACAGTTACTAATTACAACGGTCCTCTCTCGACGCAAGGTCGCTTGTTTATGTTTTTGAGTCGCAATTGTAAATGATTGTTCCATGAGATGTTACATGCAGTCAGGTCAGCAACATTCATCAATCAGTTTAGTTGACAGTGTCTCTCTCGGCTCTTACAAGATTAGGTCACATTAAAATAAAAAACTAGATGGGAGTGACTTTTGTATTACTTTTTTGTATACTTTTGTATTACATATGCAATTATCTGTTTAACATCAGTGGGAATAATTGTATTTTCAAACAGTTCCATTTCCTTAGGGAAAGGAGGGCTGGCTCTGAAATGACCACGTGGCCCAATAGTTCAGCTGATTTTTACAGTAGGGGGGCCAAGACGAACACACCAGAATTGAATAAAATTGAATAAATTACAGTTCTTCGTATTTTCTCTACTAGCCAGAGGCTATCCAGAAGAAAAAAACTAGTATCCCTAATTAATTTTTACTGGCCAGTTAAAATAATTTGACCCACCAATGCTGCTTATCACAAACTAGTAGGGAAAAAAAAGACAAAACACAATTTCATTCACAGGGTAATCAGTGTACAGGCATAGTCTTATATCAATCGGCTCAGTTGAAATTTGTGTGATTGATTTTTGCGATTCACTTGAAATTTTATGGTTCTTGGGAACACTTGCTTCGTGAGTTTGTTTGTAAACTTTGACGACCATCACTTAAAGGTTCAGAAAACTAACGAAAGATCGTGCATTGTTGCTTCGAGTAGATTTTGTACATATCCATGATACATGTTTTGGGAGATCAAATCCCTAATAGACGAGAAAGATGAATTCCAATCACAATATTTAAAGTCACTTGATTTATGTTTAACAAGTTATTAGGAGTTGATACAGGATTCATAAACAAGCTATTTATTGCCATAAATAAATCCTTTATTTTTGGAAAGGCAGTAAGAGCATTTAAAGGTAGGATTTCTGTATTATTTTTTTGGCAGGGATTAAGAGCTAAGTATGAAGGTTGTCATAACGATCAAGCAGTACATCTATTAAAAGCCGGACATTGGAATGACGCACACATGATTATTATTAGACATCTTTCTGCTGATGCTATCATTAACGGTAAGTTGTACTTCTTACGTCAGATTACCTGATACACAAAACAGATAAATACACTGTGTTCGGCACTATTATTTATCACAATGCACACGGTCATTGTTACATCACTTTTATTGTTATGATGAAAGTGTTTTTTTTTTCAACAGGCCACAGTGCTTTATCTGCATGTAAATCTATGAAGAGTATTTACATCTGCAATTTTTTTTTTTAAATAAATATTTTTATTTGTTTGTTCATGAAAAATGCTTGTTGTACCAAATGAATACAGCCAAAGTGAAATGTGCAGGTTATGCACTTGTAATCAACATCTTAGACACCTTGAAGCACAACAAATGATCATTTTTTACCATGTCACCTAAACATGTATTTGGTGCAATGATCTATTTGTAATATGGGGTTTGAAAATTATGACATTGGTTAGGGTATTTGTGTTTGTCTACTCATTGTGAGGGTTTTTAGTCCCCGATCGGTCACAGTCCGAAAACGAGGACTTATGTTTTGACCTCCGTGTGTCCATGCGTGCATCTGTGCATGCGTCCGGACCTGTATTTTAGAAATGCCTGAACCAATCACAATCAAACTTTACACATACATCATACATGATATTATCCATATGCACGTCAGTTTGTTTCATGATCTGATTCAAGATGGCCGAATGGCGACCATTTTTGTGCTAAAAAATCCTAAAAATCAACCATTTCTCGGCTGTTTACAGATGGATTTTGTTCAATCTTGGTATATACATTAGACATTATGGGACCTTGATGCAAATAATTTTGTTTTTCAGATAAGATTCAAAATGGCCGACTGGCGGCCATTTTGTATTAATGAATGTGGTTCTCGTGCCATATCTCTGACTTGCTTTCACTGATTATGTTCAAATTTTAAATATTCATTATACATCATGTCATAGATAGACAGATATATTGGTTTGACGATCCTATTCAAAATGGCCAAAT